ATTAAGTAATTAGTTCTATTCTTGATAAATAGTCAATATTAATTATAACTTAATGTATTGGATATTTATAGTGAAAAATAAATTCTTAATGTGGTATATTTATATGTAAAAAGACAGCAACAAATTGGCTTTAAAACTTATTTTGTTTATACTATTGTGTGTATTACTGCATAACTGCAAAAGTGTTTTAGTTGCAAGTCATTGGGTAAATGAATTGCATAAAGATTAGGTAAAACAAGAGATTTTTTATAAAGGTGGTAGTAGCATATTTATATAAATTTCAGATTATTAGTTAAACTAATATATAAACCATGAAAATTTTCTATATTGGATCAATTATTAGTGATATCATATGTATAAACATTATTCCTGTAAACAGAATGGGCCATTTTAAGTTAAAATGGCCCATTTTAACTTAAATATTGCTTCAAAAATTTAGACAACAGAATAAAATAGTTGCCAAAATAAAAAAAAATACATGAAAATATAAAACAAATGGGTTAATAAATGTGTTTAATAATTTGGAAATTTAGAAGATTAAGTTACATTTATGCTACAACTGTTGTATCTGAAGAAGTTTCTTAGAAAAGGAATAAAGTTTTTTTATGGATTTTAATGAAACCAGATATGTATAGAGTTAGAGTATTTGTAATAGAATCCTATGTAATCTTTATCCTCAAGAAATTAATATAAATTGATACAAATTATTATGAATTAATTCTGTTTTTATAATTTGTTGAAGAGTACTTATTTCTATTTTTATTAGTTTCTATATTGTAAATTTTTCTGGTAAGATTTTGAACATCATGAAGCATCAAGCTTTATGCGATCCCATACATTCATAACATGTAACATTGGCTAACATAATAAAAGAATAATTTGTATAGATGCTTTACAGCACCAATATATTACTCTTTCATACTTGTTTATTACCCATAGCAATTATTGACTAAAAAAAAACTATAAAATGAAAAAATAGCTATGAATAGCTTCATGTTAAATTTGTTTGTGAATAAATTATAAAAAGTTTTTTGATATTTTTAAAATGTTTTAAAAATAATTAAATTAGATTAGATTATTTTACATTTGAATATAAAGCTTTTTCTTGGATCTTAGAAAATTATGCAGGTTCTGTTTTACTAAATAAAACTGACACATTGAATCATTAGATTATTTTACTTTGGCATAATAATAATAATGAAAGATTGTCAATCTACAATTTAGAGTTTTATTGATAGTTAATGTATACATACATACATGAAAGACATCTGCTGTTGTCTGGAAAAGAGGGTAAGGGAAGGGAGGAAGAAGGAGGGAGAGGAGATAGATAGTAGAGAAAGGTAGGATTCCTCTGAATGACATATGTATGGTTACTGTACCTTTTATGTTTGATGTTGGCATGCAGTTTTTATGCTGCAAGGCCGTAGTCCCTTGAAGGATCTAAAAGAAAACCTGAATGTAGTGAACACCAATAATTGAGTGCTGCCACGAATAGCTAAGTGTAGAAGTTAGTGCCAAGTGGCTGTTAGTAGGAAGACTTATATCTACTTAATACTAATAAAACTGAACATGAGCACGATTCTTAATACTATTAACAGCTAGACAGACAGTGTGAAAACAAACAAACACAATGACAAACTGGACGAGACAAATGGACTGACAAAAGAGCAAGACCTCTATTTCTTTTTTATTTATTTATTTATTTTATTTTATTTTATTATTATTATTATTATTATTATTATCTTTTTAAACATTAACTTACTCACTAACTAACTAATCTACTGTAACCTAGGACAAACCTAACCAGACAACTAAAGCTAACAATCCTAATCTAATTTAACCTAACCAGAAACCATGCCCTAATCTAACTTACAACTAGGACTAACTCAAACTAACTGAATTTAGACTGAAAAGAAGACAGAAAATAATAATTAAAATACAAAGATGAAAGGCAGCTATATACTGACAGTTGAAACAAAGCAAGGGGAAGCTAATTGCCATCCGTGCCCCAGAGTGAGTGCTCTCAAGAGCCCCACTTAAGGGATATGAATGTGAGTAGATGATGGAACATTGTACGTGTGTGAATGAGTTGGTGCAGGTTGCAAGGCTAGTTGTACCCTTCAAGAATGGCAGCTCGCATTTAACAATCCCTAATGTGATTGTACCTATTGCAGCAAAAAACTAAGTGAAGTGGTGTTTGGTCCTCCTGAATACCACAATTGCATTGTGGATTATCCCCAAGGTTAAATCTATGCAAGTATTGCTTAAAGTTGCCATGTCCTGTAAGTAGCTGAATGAGGGTGTATCTAGGGTAAAAATGGCAAAGAATCGCAGTAGTGTCAATCTTTGGGATGAAAGTGTAGGTGAACCTTCCAGTGGTGTCATGGTCCCAGCTGTCTTGTCAGATAATGAAGATTTGCTTCTTGACGTGATTGTTGATGTATGAGGTAGGAATGTAACTGAAAGTACTAGTGACTGAAGTCTTTGCAGCTTGTTTGGCAAGACAGTCAGTGATCGCGTTGCTGAGAACTCCCGTATGACCCTGGACCCATTGAAAATCTATTCTAATGTTGTTGTTTAAATGTCTGATAATGTGGTGTATTAGATGGATGAGTTTTAAGCAGCCATCAGACTTCGCAATCCTGTGTAAAGCTACCCTACTGTCAGAATCAATGTGGTAGTGTAAGTAAGATAGTGTCTTTTGTCCTTCCTATGCCTAATGTTAATTAAGCTCATATAAATAGCTAAAGTTTCCACCTGTGCTATTGAGCAGTGTGTACCTAGATGGAATCAAGCTTAGTGTTTGTGAAGCTTGTGGCCTAAGTCAGAGTAAACTATTGATACAAAAGTGGCAACCACTTCATCACCCATCTTGGAACCATCAGTGTAAATCCTAAATATGGGATGGTCATCTGGATCTTCAAAGTAAACGTCAGGGGCATGCTGATGGAGGGGTGGTAATTGTAAGTCAGGAGGGTATTTTTGTCAATGGTAAATTTTTTGATATCATCGATCAAACTGGGGGAAATCTTACCTACTCTAATTATTTTGTCAACATCCAAGTCGCTATAATCTTGCCAGGGTAAGATGATGAGATTTTCCTGCCAAATAATCTCGTCACCTTACCCTGGTTAATGTCACATACCATAGTTAATGTACAAAGGTCATTCAAAGTTAAACAAGACTTTTGGGCTTATAATTTTGAAAAGTAACTGTAGCACTATAAAACCTGAAGAGGGAGTAGCATTATGCATCCCAAGATTTCAGTAGCAAGCATGACATATTCTGCACATGCATAGCAGTTTTAGCAATCATGGTGGAAGGTAATGTGTCTGGAATAGTGGAACAGCAGTGCATAATGAAGTTTCTCGTGAAGGAAAAGGTTAAACCTCCTGAAATTTTGAGAAGATTGAGTGCACGGCATGGGGAACAAATGCTATTGCAGGCAAGAGGGTACGAATGATGTCGACAATTTGGTGAAGGATGAGAGCTGATGACAAATGAAGCACATGGACATGTTTGTCCAACTGCAGTAACTCCAGTGAATATCCAACGAGTTGAGCAAGTTATTCTGGAGAACTGGCAAGTAACTGTGAGACACATGGCATACGAAGTGTCCATTAATGTTGGTAGTGTTGAGAAAATCATTCACAAGCTCTTACTGTTCCACAAGATGTGTTCCAGATGGGTTCTCCAACAGCTGACAGGTGATCAGAAATGGATATGGAAGTAGATATGTGAGCAGCTTCTGAATCGGTTTTGTATCGAAGGTGATTAGTTTCCAGCAATTATCATTTGTTTGGGCCCCTTAAAGAGCACCTGGGAGGAATGAAATTCCAGACAGATGATGAACTGCAGCAAGTTGTCCTGTGCTGGCTATGACATCAGCCCACTTCTTTCTACGAGAAAGATATCAGGGATCTACCCCACCACTGGGAACAGTGTCTACATACAGAGGAAAAGTATTTCGAAAAATTGACATACTTTTTACATCTTTTGGACATTCCTTCTGGTCTGTAAAAATAAAAGTCTCGTTTAACCTTGAACGACCCTTGTATAATAGCAATGTTCTCTCATCTTGTGATTTTTATTTATTTTATTTTTGCAATACAGATTTAGATTTCTACTTAATTTAATCATTTGTTTATGTGTATAATTCTAATTTACAAAATCAGAAATAAAAACTTTCTCTTTTCCTCCAGATGTAGCAGATGATTTTAAGGTGCAGCTGAATTCCTTCATGTCATATTTGTTTTCACCTGAAAATATTGAATGTAAACAAATTAATGGAAGAGAAATTACTGCAAAAGAACTTATTGATTATTTTAAAGTAAGTATCTGTACATTAGGAATCAATATTCATTAATATAGTAATAATAAAATTATGATAATGACAGAAATACAATAGCATTATATGCACAATTCTTATATTTCAACAATGGTGTCACTAGGGTTTGTATCACCCCAATGGATCCTACTTTGTTCCAGAGTATACAGAATCCTTAGTAATGTTTTTTATACATAATAATGTTACTTGTAAATCCTAATTTTCTTCTATTAACAAATGTAATGGCACTAACATAAACAACTATAAAAATCAAAATTACATCTTTAAATTATAATATCACATACAACATGTATTTACATTTATTTATTTTAATTTTTATATTTGTATTGTAATTATATTAATATTATACGTGTAAAATGTAAAATATTTTTGTATTTTTTTTTATTGTAATTTGGTAATAATGACAACTCTGGCCAAAGCATGTTAGAAGGGTAAATAATAACAAAGCATTGTAGGTATATTGATACATGTAAGTTGGGCTCATAAAAACTTTTTTTTTTTTGTTATAACTAATTAATTAATTGGATATTTTGATAAAAAAGTAATGAATTTCTGCTGAAGCACTGCACAAATATTTTATGGAAAGTCATTTTGATGTCATCCTGTGATATCCCCTAGTGATGCTATTATGTTTCAACTTTCATACAAATTTTAAAATATTTTATTTAATGATGCTTTTAACTCTCATTGAAATGTGTTTTTGTATTACCATATTTTACGGACTATAAGACAATTTTTTAAGCAGTTTTTTANGAATTTAAATATAAATTTAATATGATTTTTTATTAAATTTTAATTTTTAAATAATTTTTATGATTTTTAAGATAAGAAATGATCAACATCCTAGTTTAAAAGATCTTAGAAGACAAATCTACACTTGTTTTAAAAATATAGACTGTTTCTTAATGCCTCATCCTGGATTGAAAGTTTCGACAGCGCTCGAATTTGATGGTTGTCTAAAGGGTAAATTAAAACCAAAAATTTTCACAATAAATTCTAATTAAGTAATTAGTTCTATTCTTGATAAATAGTCAATATTAATTATAACTTAATGTATTGTATATTTATAGTAAAAAATAAAATCTTAATGTGGTATATTTATATGTAAAAAGACAGCAACAAATTGGCTTTAAAACTTATTTTGTTTATACTATTGTGTGTATTACTGCATAACTGCAAAAGTGTTTTAGTTGCAAGTCATTGGGTAAATGAATTGCATAAAGATTAGGTAAAACAAGAGATTTTTTATAAAGGTGGTAGTAGCATATTTATATAAATTTCAGATTATTAGTTAAACTAATATATAAACCATGAAAATTTTCTATATTGGATCAATTATTAGTGATATCATATGTATAAACATTATTCCTGTAAACAGAATGGGCCATTTTAAGTTAAAATGGCCCATTTTAACTTAAATATTGCTTCAAAAATTTAGACAACAGAATAAAATAGTTGCCAAAATAAAAAAAAATACATGAAAATATAAAACAAATGGGTTAATAAATGTGTTTAATAATTTGGAAATTTAGAAGATTAAGTTACATTTATGCTACAACTGTTGTATCTGAACAAGTTTCTTAGAAAAGGAATAAAGTTTTTTTATGGATTTTAATGAAACCAGATATGTATAGAGTTAGAGTATTTGTAATAGAATCCTATGTAATCTTTATCCTCAAGAAATTAATATAAATTGATACAAATTATTATGAATTAATTCTGTTTTTATAATTTGTTGAAGAGTACTTATTTCTATTTTTATTAGTTTCTATATTGTAAATTTTTCTGGTAAGATTTTGAACATCATGAAGCATCAAGCTTTTTGCGATCCCATACATTCATAACATGTAACATTGGCTAACATAATAAAAGAATAATTTGTATAGATGCTTTACAGCACCAATATATTACTCTTTCATACTTGTTTATTACCCATAGCAATTATTGACTAAAAAAAAACTATAAAATGAAAAAATAGCTATGAATAGCTTCATGTTAAATTTGTTTGTGAATAAATTATAAAAAGTTTTTTGATATTTTTAAAATGTTTTAAAAATAATTAAATTAGATTAGATTATTTTACATTTGAATATAAAGCTTTTTCTTGGATCTTAGAAAATTATGCAGGTTCTGTTTTACTAAATAAAACTGACACATTGAATCATTAGATTATTTTACTTTGGCATAATAATAATAATGAAAGATTGTCAATCTACAATTTAGAGTTTTATTGATAGTTAATGTATACATACATACATGAAAGACATCTGCTGTTGTCTGGAAAAGAGGGTAAGGGAAGGGAGGAAGAAGGAGGGAGAGGAGATAGATAGTAGAGAAAGGTAGGATTCCTCTGAATGACATATGTATGGTTACTGTACCTTTTATGTTTGATGTTGGCATGCAGTTTTTATGCTGCAAGGCCGTAGTCCCTTGAAGGATCTAAAAGAAAACCTGAATGTAGTGAACACCAATAATTGAGTGCTGCCACGAATAGCTAAGTGTAGAAGTTAGTGCCAAGTGGCTGTTAGTAGGAAGACTTATATCTACTTAATACTAATAAAACTGAACATGAGCACGATTCTTAATACTATTAACAGCTAGACAGACAGTGTGAAAACAAACAAACACAATGACAAACTGGACGAGACAAATGGACTGACAAAAGAGCAAGACCTCTATTTCTTTTTTATTTATTTATTTATTTTATTTTATTTTATTATTATTATTATTATTATTATTATCTTTTTAAACATTAACTTACTCACTAACTAACTAATCTACTGTAACCTAGGACAAACCTAACCAGACAACTAAAGCTAACAATCCTAATCTAATTTAACCTAACCAGAAACCATGCCCTAATCTAACTTACAACTAGGACTAACTCAAACTAACTGAATTTAGACTGAAAAGAAGACAGAAAATAATAATTAAAATACAAAGATGAAAGGCAGCTATATACTGACAGTTGAAACAAAGCAAGGGGAAGCTAATTGCCATCCGTGCCACAGAGTGAGTGCTCTCAAGAGCCCCACTTAAGGGATATGAATGTGAGTAGATGATGGAACATTGTACGTGTGTGAATGAGTTGGTGCAGGTTGCAAGGCTAGTTGTACCCTTCAAGAATGGCAGCTCGCATTTAACAATCCCTAATGTGATTGTACCTATTGCAGCAAAAAACTAAGTGAAGTGGTGTTTGGTCCTCCTGAATACCACAATTGCATTGTGGATTATCCCCAAGGTTAAATCTATGCAAGTATTGCTTAAAGTTGCCATGTCCTGTAAGTAGCTGAATGAGGGTGTATCTAGGGTAAAAATGGCAAAGAATCGCAGTAGTGTCAATCTTTGGGATGAAAGTGTAGGTGAACCTTCCAGTGGTGTCATGGTCCCAGCTGTCTTGTCAGATAATGAAGATTTGCTTCTTGACGTGATTGTTGATGTATGAGGTAGGAATGTAACTGAAAGTACTAGTGACTGAAGTCTTTGCAGCTTGTTTGGCAAGACAGTCAGTGATCGCGTTGCTGAGAACTCCCGTATGACCCTGGACCCATTGAAAATCTATTCTAATGTTGTTGTTTAAATGTCTGATAATGTGGTGTATTAGATGGATGAGTTTTAAGCAGCCATCAGACTTCGCAATCCTGTGTAAAGCTACCCTACTGTCAGAATCAATGTGGTAGTGTAAGTAAGATAGTGTCTTTTGTCCTTCCTATGCCTAATGTTAATTAAGCTCATATAAATAGCTAAAGTTTCCACCTGTGCTATTGAGCAGTGTGTACCTAGATGGAATCAAGCTTAGTGTTTGTGAAGCTTGTGGCCTAAGTCAGAGTAAACTATTGATACAAAAGTGGCAACCACTTCATCACCCATCTTGGAACCATCAGTGTAAATCCTAAATATGGGATGGTCATCTGGATCTTCAAAGTAAACGTCAGGGGCATGCTGATGGAGGGGTGGTAATTGTAAGTCAGGAGGGTATTTTTGTCAATGGTAAATTTTTTGATATCATCGATCAAACTGGGGGAAATCTTACCTACTCTAATTATTTTGTCAACATCCAAGTCGCTATAATCTTGCCAGGGTAAGATGATGAGATTTTCCTGCCAAATAATCTCGTCACCTTACCCTGGTTAATGTCACATACCATAGTTAATGTACAAAGGTCATTCAAAGTTAAACAAGACTTTTGGGCTTATAATTTTGAAAAGTAACTGTAGCACTATAAAACCTGAAGAGGGAGTAGCATTATGCATCCCAAGATTTCAGTAGCAAGCATGACATATTCTGCACATGCATAGCAGTTTTAGCAATCATGGTGGAAGGTAATGTGTCTGGAATAGTGGAACAGCAGTGCATAATGAAGTTTCTCGTGAAGGAAAAGGTTAAACCTCCTGAAATTTTGAGAAGATTGAGTGCACGGCATGGGGAACAAATGCTATTGCAGGCAAGAGGGTACGAATGATGTCGACAATTTGGTGAAGGATGAGAGCTGATGACAAATGAAGCACATGGACATGTTTGTCCAACTGCAGTAACTCCAGTGAATATCCAACGAGTTGAGCAAGTTATTCTGGAGAACTGGCAAGTAACTGTGAGACACATGGCAGACGAAGTGTCCATTAATGTTGGTAGTGTTGAGAAAATCATTCACAAGCTCTTACTGTTCCACAAGATGTGTTCCAGATGGGTTCTCCAACAGCTGACAGGTGATCAGAAATGGATATGGAAGTAGATATGTGAGCAGCTTCTGAATCGGTTTTGTATCGAAGGTGATTAGTTTCCAGCAATTATCATTTGTTTGGGCCCCTTAAAGAGCACCTGGGAGGAATGAAATTCCAGACAGATGATGAACTGCAGCAAGTTGTCCTGTGCTGGCTATGACATCAGCCCACTTCTTTCTACGAGAAAGATATCAGGGATCTACCCCACCACTGGGAACAGTGTCTACATACAGAGGAAAAGTATTTCGAAAAATTGACATACTTTTTACATCTTTTGGACATTCCTTCTGGTCTGTAAAAATAAAAGTCTCGTTTAACCTTGAACGACCCTTGTATAATAGCAATGTTCTCTCATCTTGTGATTTTTATTTATTTTATTTTTGCAATACAGATTTAGATTTCTACTTAATTTAATCATTTGTTTATGTGTATAATTCTAATTTACAAAATCAGAAATAAAAACTTTCTCTTTTCCTCCAGATGTAGCAGATGATTTTAAGGTGCAGCTGAATTCCTTCATGTCATATTTGTTTTCACCTGAAAATATTGAATGTAAACAAATTAATGGAAGAGAAATTACTGCAAAAGAACTTATTGATTATTTTAAAGTAAGTATCTGTACATTAGGAATCAATATTCATTAATATAGTAATAATAAAATTATGATAATGACAGAAATACAATAGCATTATATGCACAATTCTTATATTTCAACAATGGTGTCACTAGGGTTTGTATCACCCCAATGGATCCTACTTTGTTCCAGAGTATACAGAATCCTTAGTAATGTTTTTTATACATAATAATGTTACTTGTAAATCCTAATTTTCTTCTATTAACAAATGTAATGGCACTAACATAAACAACTATAAAAATCAAAATTACATCTTTAAATTATAATATCACATACAACATGTATTTACATTTATTTATTTTAATTTTTATATTTGTATTGTAATTATATTAATATTATACGTGTAAAATGTAAAATATTTTTGTATTTTTTTTTATTGTAATTTGGTAATAATGACAACTCTGGCCAAAGCATGTTAGAAGGGTAAATAATAACAAAGCATTGTAGGTATATTGATACATGTAAGTTGGGCTCATAAAAACTTTTTTTTTTTTGTTATAACTAATTAATTAACCCTCCGTAAGTCGCTAGGAATGGGGCCCTTACTTGAGTCGCATGGGTCTTACAGACCCAGTGTTTTTAATATGAAATAATTTAATTTTATCTATCGCGTAAAGAAACTACAGTTTCTTAGTTGGATTCTGCGCTTTGTTTTCTATCTAGTGATATAAATTACTTGCGTATTGACAAAATGAATTTATTAATATTTATTTTTATGTAATTCGATACGAAAAACGCAAAAAAATAAACATATCAAATTTCAACTCGCTGTAATTTATCTCCTGTTTCACCGATTGCCATCGGGTTTGTTTGTAAGTGGGGAAGAAATATGACACTTTCAAGCGAAGTGAGTAGAACTTTTGCACTACTGCGAGAAAATTTGTCAACCGACCCCGCGTTACCCCCTACCGCGAAAGTCAATAAACGTTAATTGTTTTATGACTCTATTTTCAACACTTCTTTTCTGAGTTGTAAATCGACTAATTGACAAAGATTTTACTTCATTTTACTCATAAGAATGTTGTCTTTATGATTTAATAGATAGTTTCGTATGATTTTTAGACATAAATTTTATTTTTAATTTTTTATCTGATATAGTCGTGTGTTAGGCTTAACTCGATCACCTATTTTCAAAAATTGACATCGTTCAAAATATTATAGAATCCATCAAAATTATTTGCTTATAGTTTAGTTATAAATGTTTTCTGTGCATGAAAAGAAGCGATCGAAAAAATAATGGGTGGACCATCAAAAATTCGGCAATTTACGACATGCTCTCGATTCTGAAATTTGTTTTCTTCATAATATAAAATTTTTACAAAATAATACTTAAAAAATACATCCATGTCAATACCTGAATGTTATAAAAATGCAATTATCAAAAATTTTGTAATTTTCACAATTTGTATTGTCATAATTTATTTTTGTTTTTTTCTGTCGCGCGTTGCGTATTGCGCGACAACAAAGTCGTAACGCGATTAAACGCAGCGATTTCATTTATAATTACTTAAAATGTAGTTTACGTTCTTGTTTTAGTTTTGTTTTGTTGTTTAGCGATGGAAAATAAATAGATAATAATTGCAGATAACAATTTAAAGTATTTTTATCAGATTAATTTAGATTATTTGATTTTACAATAATGATAGCTATGCGATATGATTGTCGCATAGTTGTAATTTTTCACTTTATATCTAATTAGCTCTCATAATGTTTAGGGGCTAATTAGCTAACATGTAGTTCTTTTATTTCGTTTGATCGAGTAAGCATCTTCTCAGAATTGTCTTGTGGGAAATTGACTGCGATAAGAATTAGCCTTTCACTTAAATCAATGTCAGAATGTAAATAAAAGTTAGTTAATCGCCATTTTCATCGTTTTCAGCTCTAATTTCGCTACTTTTCATTTTAATTGACGTTATTTAAACAAATGTTTGTTTTGTCAGGAACATTCAGGAGTAAAATTACCAGAATTACGGCTCTAAAATGAAGAAGATAGCTATTTGTAAGGTTTGCTTACATTCTGACTTTAATCACGTTGATTGGTTCTTCGCGGGAAAATCCAGACCAGATGGTTCTGAAGAAACCTCTCATTCGTTGAACTTAAATCAGTCATAATATAAATTACCAATTACAGTGTAATAGGCGTAGAAACAAAAATTTTAAAGCCAATTAACAGCAATAACATCTTCCATAGACTTACTATAGAGAGTTGGAGTTTCCCGGGAATATTTATTGCTAGACAGTTTTGAGAACATGCTTACTCGTATATACATTGTGAAACAATATTTAATTAACAATTTATAGCTCAAAACGCGAATAAAACAAGCGAATTTACAGCGATTGTTTACATTTGATTTCCAAGATCATTGCCGAAAGGGGGGAGATATTTCCCGGCAATTTATAGCTAGACTGTTTTCACAAGTTTCCCATTGGTTAGTAAATGTAAAAAAATGCCAACTTGCATCGTCTAATATACGAAGAATCATCATAAGTAATATATAAAAATTATATGATAAAAATAGAATAATAATTAAAATGATTAAAAGTTAATTAGACATTAATTTTGAAAACAATATTAAAAAAAAAAAAACAAAAATATAAATATATAAATAAATAACGATATTATAAAGTATAATAGACACCGCGCGACAACTTCAGCGCGATAAAGTTATTGCGACACTCGCTATCGGCAACGGCGACAAATTAATTGACGTTTTTTTACCCCCTCCGTGAGTCGCATGGGTCTGTCATACCCATGCGACTCGTAAAGCATTTTTTTTCTAAAAAATGAGCGTTGCTATGCAAAAAATTTTAACAGCATGTTAATCTAATTAAAAAGTTTGAGGAATATTAATTTTTTCAAATTTTTCAAAAAATATTTAATAGTAAAAAATTTTGACTGAAAATCGCGTCGGGTCTGTCAGACCCATGCGACTAACATAAGGTTAATTGGATATTTTGATAAAAAAGTAATGAATTTCTGCTGAAGCACTGCACAAATATTTTATGGAAAGTCATTTTGATGTCATCCTGTGATATCCCCTAGTGATGCTATTATGTTTCAACTTTCATACAAATTTTAAAATATTTTATTTAATGATGCTTTTAACTCTCATTGAAATGTGTTTTTGTATTACCATATTTTACGGACTATAAGACAATTTTTTAAGCAGTTTTTTAAAAAACTAACTTTATTTTCTAAAATATGAGCTTTTAAAGGCAAAAGAAGAGTCCCAATTGTAAAATTTAACCATAAAATGGATTATTTGTTGAAAGAGCATTCAAAATAGCCACGAAAAAAATTAGAATGCCGGCTACCATCCAAAAAAAATTCGAAAAGACACTTACCATACATCACTGTGTGCACTAATTTGTGCTTTTACAATTTCTAACTTTTCATTCATAAAACCACATACAGTAATGGACCCCGAAACAAAACTATCTGAGCCATGGAGGATGCCATGTTGCTTTCCACTGAAAACTACTGCTACAAGCGGCCATTTTTGCCGTTCGACAGCGTGCACTCTGACTGGAATTTAGGAACGTGTTCAGCAGGAATTTTTAAACAGATTTTGCTCACATAAAGTTACATGGAGGAATAAAAGAATGCATCCTTGTTTGTCGCATCGGTGCACTGCTGCTGCCAGTTGAATTCAATGTTGCCAGATAGAGATAGGTTTCCCGCGGCATCAAATATATGGCCATTTTTAAGACTGGTGGGAATTTTAAATCAAACATTGGACATTTTTGTATTAATTTTGAGTATAAGATGCACCTGAATTTTGGAGGCAATTTTTCGAAGAAAAAGTATGTCTTATAGTCCGTAAAATACAGTATATATTTTCAAAACAAGAATAGAACAACTTAGAAATAGTTTATGTAAATAGTAATGTCAAATTATTAATAATTGTAAAATGGCATCTATTGAATAATGAATTTGAATGGCTGACTTTCAGCTTAATATAATATTCTTTCAAATAAAATAATCTACCTAATTAGCTATCATAAAATTTGGAATACTACAATTTTATGAAAATAACTCATGGGTTAATTGTGTTTAAAAGTCAATTTGAAAGCAGGTGAAGTTTATATGATGATGTAGGTTATCTACAATTTTAATTTGCAATTATAAACTCTTAAGACAGCATTTCCATTACCTATGTCACCAAGAATGTCTTTTTACCTATGTCACCAAGAACTGTAAAAGAAATTTTTATTTACCACAGACTGCAAGATCTTCTGAATCCATCAGACACACATCTTTAGTTCTCTCTGTTCACTTTTTATGCATCAATTCATACTTTAATTATTCTCATTACTGCTCCTATCTTTGAACCTCTATCTCAAAGCTGATCAGTTAGTCATTTTAGATTAATTAATGGTTTCTGTTGAAGATTAAGATACATTACTTGATAATTGTAATGTTAGTAAGTTATAAATTCTTACATTTTTCATTCTTATAAAGTAAATTTTGATGACTAAAATAGCTATATATATATTTAAGATGATATCTTTTGATTGACTGTATATTCTTTTGCCTTGTTTACACAAAGCAACATTACTTTCTGACATTTGCTAACAAAACAAAAGTAAAAATGATGTCATTACCAATTTGCTTTATTTGCTTAATATTTTTAATTTTACAGTACAGAAATTGTTTTATTGATATATTGATATTGATTAAAATAATAATTGTATAAACTTTAAAATGTTATTAAATAACTTTTGACTTCAGACTTTATTCAACTAGTCAACCATTTTATTAATTCTGTTTTGCTGCTGTTAAATTATTGCTAGTCAATTCTACTAAGATTTGTTTTATTGTTATCAATGAATGCTGTTAAAGTATTATGTTGTTTCAGTTTTTATCCCAATAACAGAAATCCAGATCTGTCATCTTAGCAACTTCAGATTGGGAGGTTACTTCCTATTAGGTCCAATGTAACATCTGGAAGTTTGTCATTTTTGGTGACTTTACAAGATTTTTATCATATAAGGGAGCTAATCTTTCACTGAACAAAGTAACACTCTCTGTAATGTATAAGAACTGAATGATTGCCTGTGGAACCCATATTATTGATATTATCAACTCTATTATTATTTTATTAATGTTACTTGATAAATAAAACTGAGAAATGAAGCAATATAACAAAAACTTTTGTCATCCAATAGCTATTTTGTATTTTCAACATCAGTTGGTCCTAATGGGCCATTTCAAACATTTCATGTATTTATAATGACATCTACAATGAACAGGGAAAAACTGTTTTCCAAACTGTATATCAGTAAGTATGATTCAGTAGCCATTCTATGTATGCTATACAGTGATGCATATTACTCAGAGATTTTATAACCAATTTAATGATTTTCTTTGGGATTATATGACAATGCAAGTTTTATACTGCTGCAGATTATCTGTACAAAATTATGGTATTATAGCAATAATAAAAAAACATGATTTTTTAATACATGAAAATGTCTAGTGACAATTTAATATAGATTTTGAATTATAAACATTATTCAATTGAAAGTTTAAAATTTAGGAAAAAAATCCATTATATGATCCTTATTGTCAAATTTAACACTTACATCTGCTATATTCTTATTTTACAAATATAATATACAAGTATATATTTTAATGAGAGTTAAAACATCATTAATAAAACGATTCTGTGTTTATCGTTATATCATATAACATGAAAATATTATAAGAATTAACTGTTATAAATATAAAATTATTTTTCAGGAAAATAATAATCACTTCTCAGAATTGAAGACACATGGTTGAAGGTGTTACATTGCATTTATTCAAAATCCAATTGTCTTGCATTGATGATAATGTAATGTATTTGTCTATTACTTAACATCATCAAAGATCTCAGAAATTAAACAACACTTGAGGTTTATCATTGGATGAATAGATTATGTTACATTAAAATTACATAATAAAAACTTAAACATTGATTTTGTAACATAACACTTTCATTTATTCAATTGTGTCATAAATACTTTAATGAGATTGTGATTGTATAATTAAATCAGATATAAACATTTTTATTATACAGTATCTTATAAAAAGAATGCTACCATTTTAAATTATTGTAATTATGTTAATTATTACCTGAGAAGTATATGATGTATACCGATTGTTATAGTAATTGTCCAAGTTTCATCTCCCATCTGCATTCAAATGTGTTTTTGCCTACTGCCTCTAGGAAACACCATACAGAAAAATGGCAATTCTGCAACAGAAAAGGCATTTTATGTTCCACAGTTTGCAAAGTCAGAATCAGTTATCATTGTGCAACATGAGTTTTTCAGAAAATTTTAAAGTGATCTGCCAAGTTAGACAACTATTCATTGATAATATCGACAATACACAACATGAAATCAATTTTAAGCTTTTAGTTTTATTCTCATTTTCCTCTGACATTCTGGTCATCATAGATTTTCTCTTGCAAATACATCCTTTCTCCTGGAGCTGTTGATACCACCAAAGAATGTTTGTCTTACTTGGTAAATCACTTTGAAATTGTCTGTGAAACTTATGTTGCAAGTGATGACTGATTCTGATGTTTTTGAGCTGCAGAGCACAAAACATCTCTGTTGCACAGTTGACATTTTATTTATGTTGCTTCCTAGAGGTTGTGGATAGCAAGACATTTGATTATAGATGGGAGACAGCACTTGGAGAGTTATTCTATTGATTGGTGTACATCACACACTTCTTAGGAATTAATTTCTTTCAAGCTAAATATTTTTTTAAATATTTGATAAAGATAAATTAGAAAATCGATAGCATAAAATTAATATTTAAGAAATAGTTACATCTTGTTTATTATAGTGTAAATAAACATTAATAATACATTATAATTTTACTAAATATTAAAAATTTTCTGTAGGCATATATAAAAGTTTATCAGAATGATGATTTGCCTGCTCCTAAAACAATATTTATGGTAATTAATTCTTTTAAAATGCTTTATTTTAAATATAAATGTACTATTTTACAGTTTATTTTTTTTTTCTTTAGGCAACGGCTGAAATAAATAATATAAATGCAGTACATAATGCCAAAAAAATATATAACGACACAATGGAAAGGGTAATGATGGTTTGAATGTTGTTGCTTTAAAATAAAAGTTCTGTTTTTAATTATTTTGATAATTTTTACTTAGATATGTGGAGGAATTCAGCCCTACCTTAATCCAAGAACTTTATACTTGGTGCATTTAGAAGCCAAAAATAAAGCCATTGAATTATTTAATAATGCATATAAGATGGGAGGGGAAGAATATTCAAAATCATTCTGTGAAAGTCTAGAGAAGGTAAATTATTATATTATTAAATGACAGTTAAATGATGTAATAGTAATATTATTAAAATTATATAGCCATTACAAATTATTTTATATATAAATATATTTTTTTATCATTTTATTTGCAGGATATTGAAAATTTACTTCAAAATTACATTGTATTGAATGATAGCAAAAATATAACTAAGTTGGTGGAAACACCCCTTATTCTTATTACTATTGCTATTATAACTCACTTCCTTGCAAAACTTTTTTATCTGATCGACTTAACATTCTTTCTAATGATATGCAATATTGTATTTATGATATGCATACTGTCACTTGGAATCTGGTGCTATAGTAGGTGAGTAAAAATTGCAATTTTAAATATTTCATGTTTTAATATTACATATATATATTTTTATCATATAGTGAATGCATTTCCTAGTAAAGCTGCTTTACTTNTCAAGAATGGCAGCTCGCATTTAACAATCCCTAATGTGATTGTACCTATTGCAGCAAAAAACTAAGTGAAGTGGTGTTTGGTCCTCCTGAATACCACAATTGCATTGTGGATTATCCCCAAGGTTAAATCTATGCAAGTATTGCTTAAAGTTGCCATGTCCTGTAAGTAGCTGAATGAGGGTGTATCTAGGGTAAAAATGGCAAAGAATCGCAGTAGTGTCAATCTTTGGGATGAAAGTGTAGGTGAACCTTCCAGTGGTGTCATGGTCCCAGCTGTCTTGTCAGATAATGAAGATTTGCTTCTTGACGTGATTGTTGATGTATGAGGTAGGAATGTAACTGAAAGTACTAGTGACTGAAGTCTTTGCAGCTTGTTTGGCAAGACAGTCAGTGATCGCGTTGCTGAGAACTCCCGTATGACCCTGGACCCATTGAAAATCTATTCTAATGTTGTTGTTTAAATGTCTGATAATGTGGTGTATTAGATGGATGAGTTTTAAGCAGCCATCAGACTTCGCAATCCTGTGTAAAGCTACCCTACTGTCAGAATCAATGTGGTAGTGTAAGTAAGATAGTGTCTTTTGTCCTTCCTATGCCTAATGTTAATTAAGCTCATATAAATAGCTAAAGTTTCCACCTGTGCTATTGAGCAGTGTGTACCTAGATGGAATCAAGCTTAGTGTTTGTGAAGCTTGTGGCCTAAGTCAGAGTAAACTATTGATACAAAAGTGGCAACCACTTCATCACCCATCTTGGAACCATCAGTGTAAATCCTAAATATGGGATGGTCATCTGGATCTTCAAAGTAAACGTCAGGGGCATGCTGATGGAGGGGTGGTAATTGTAAGTCAGGAGGGTATTTTTGTCAATGGTAAATTTTTTGATATCATCGATCAAACTGGGGGAAATCTTACCTACTCTAATTATTTTGTCAACATCCAAGTCGCTATAATCTTGCCAGGGTAAGATGATGAGATTTTCCTGCCAAATAATCTCGTCACCTTACCCTGGTTAATGTCACATACCATAGTTAATGTACAAAGGTCATTCAAAGTTAAACAAGACTTTTGGGCTTATAATTTTGAAAAGTAACTGTAGCACTATAAAACCTGAAGAGGGAGTAGCATTATGCATCCCAAGATTTCAGTAGCAAGCATGACATATTCTGCACATGCATAGCAGTTTTAGCAATCATGGTGGAAGGTAATGTGTCTGGAATAGTGGAACAGCAGTGCATAATGAAGTTTCTCGTGAAGGAAAAGGTTAAACCTCCTGAAATTTTGAGAAGATTGAGTGCACGGCATGGGGAACAAATGCTATTGCAGGCAAGAGGGTACGAATGATGTCGACAATTTGGTGAAGGATGAGAGCTGATGACAAATGAAGCACATGGACATGTTTGTCCAACTGCAGTAACTCCAGTGAATATCCAACGAGTTGAGCAAGTTATTCTGGAGAACTGGCAAGTAACTGTGAGACACATGGCAGACGAAGTGTCCATTAATGTTGGTAGTGTTGAGAAAATCATTCACAAGCTCTTACTGTTCCACAAGATGTGTTCCAGATGGGTTCTCCAACAGCTGACAGGTGATCAGAAATGGATATGGAAGTAGATATGTGAGCAGCTTCTGAATCGGTTTTGTATCGAAGGTGATTAGTTTCCAGCAATTATCATTTGTTTGGGCCCCTTAAAGAGCACCTGGGAGGAATGAAATTCCAGACAGATGATGAACTGCAGCAAGTTGTCCTGTGCTGGCTATGACATCAGCCCACTTCTTTCTACGAGAAAGATATCAGGGATCTACCCCACCACTGGGAACAGTGTCTACATACAGAGGAAAAGTATTTCGAAAAATTGACATACTTTTTACATCTTTTGGACATTCCTTCTGGTCTGTAAAAATAAAAGTCTCGTTTAACCTTGAACGACCCTTGTATAATAGCAATGTTCTCTCATCTTGTGATTTTTATTTATTTTATTTTTGCAATACAGATTTAGATTTCTACTTAATTTAATCATTTGTTTATGTGTATAATTCTAATTTACAAAATCAGAAATAAAAACTTTCTCTTTTCCTCCAGATGTAGCAGATGATTTTAAGGTGCAGCTGAATTCCTTCATGTCATATTTGTTTTCACCTGAAAATATTGAATGTAAACAAATTAATGGAAGAGAAATTACTGCAAAAGAACTTATTGATTATTTTAAAGTAAGTATCTGTACATTAGGAATCAATATTCATTAATATAGTAATAATAAAATTATGATAATGACAGAAATACAATAGCATTATATGCACAATTCTTATATTTCAACAATGGTGTCACTAGGGTTTGTATCACCCCAATGGATCCTACTTTGTTCCAGAGTATACAGAATCCTTAGTAATGTTTTTTATACATAATAATGTTACTTGTAAATCCTAATTTTCTTCTATTAACAAATGTAATGGCACTAACATAAACAACTATAAAAATCAAAATTACATCTTTAAATTATAATATCACATACAACATGTATTTACATTTATTTATTTTAATTTTTATATTTGTATTGTAATTATATTAATATTATACGTGTAAAATGTAAAATATTTTTGTATTTTTTTTTATTGTAATTTGGTAATAATGACAACTCTGGCCAAAGCATGTTAGAAGGGTAAATAATAACAAAGCATTGTAGGTATATTGATACATGTAAGTTGGGCTCATAAAAACTTTTTTTTTTTTGTTATAACTAATTAATTAACCCTCCGTAAGTCGCTAGGAATGGGGCCCTTACTTGAGTCGCATGGGTCTTACAGACCCAGTGTTTTTAATATGAAATAATTTAATTTTATCTATCGCGTAAAGAAACTACAGTTTCTTAGTTGGATTCTGCGCTTTGTTTTCTATCTAGTGATATAAATTACTTGCGTATTGACAAAATGAATTTATTAATATTTATTTTTATGTAATTCGATACGAAAAACGCAAAAAAATAAACATATCAAATTTCAACTCGCTGTAATTTATCTCCTGTTTCACCGATTGCCATCGGGTTTGTTTGTAAGTGGGGAAGAAATATGACACTTTCAAGCGAAGTGAGTAGAACTTTTGCACTACTGCGAGAAAATTTGTCAACCGACCCCGCGTTACCCCCTACCGCGAAAGTCAATAAACGTT